TCGCTCTCGTACCTCCTTACCACTCCACTCGGGTCCACCTCCCTCCTCCCTTCGAACGCCCTTCCCTCGACCCACCCCCCTCGACCGGCCTAAATTAATGCCCTTCTCCTGTGCCTCCCCACCCGTAGCTCTGACCAGCCCAGTTGTATTTGTTCACTTACCCAACTTCCTCCCTTGACTGTAGGCTCCTTGAGATCAGGACTGTGGCCTCTTCCCATGGCCCCAGTGCCTCAAGCGTGTGACTCACAGTAGGTCAGTGATAAGGGCTGAGGAAGACGCACGTGTGAGTGGATGAGTCGGTACTGAGGCTGAATGCCCCCAGTTTCAGCCTGGAGCCCATTGAAAGTATAGTCTTAGGGCACAGAATACCCTCTGCCATTTGAGGTGGCCTGTTCAGGTGAGGATGTGGGCCCTCTGAGGCACTTGGGCCACTGAGATCATTTCTTCAATTCAGGACAACCTCCCAGATGATAACTCAAAGATGACTCTAATGTCATCAGGCCCTTATCTCAGCTCCCATGTCCCTGACTCTGCCCCCAGGTGCTGTGGACGAGGAGGGACGGATGCCTTTCTATGCGGAGGAGTGCGCCTCCATGCTGGCAGTCACCTTCAGTGGTGGGGACAAGATGCTCCGGAGCATTGTGAGTGTCCCCCTGGTCCCCACTCCCTGCCCCCACCCACAGGCTTCTCTTCCCTAGCAGGTCTGTGCCCCTAAGGGTGTGCAGCTGTTGGAAGGATGGAGCTGAGGACTCTAAATCTGTGTCAGTGGTTTTTATCTTTAAATTTTTAACTTACAAACATAGTGGTATAGAAATTACCAAGCATCCCATTGATTAAAAAAACTTCTTTGAAATGCCTTCCTTTGGTAGAATGGGAGCTTTGGCTAATTTCTGTGGGCTTAAAAAAAAGATCATCATTCTATTGCTTTGCAGCCCTTATGTAAATACTGTGAGTTCTGGTCATGTTCTTTCATCCTTGGGAGTAAAGCTAGTGGTTGTCCTCACAGAATGGGCGGGAAAAGGAGTCAGGAATGTCTCAGCCAGCCCGAGAGACAGCTCTTTCTTGGAGCTGGAACTGGAGCCACAGCAAACGAGAGGTTGGGGCGGGGAGTGGAGCTTCTCAGGCTGTGGGAACCTGTGAAAGAATTCAGGGTCCAGCGCCGACACCCGGCTGGCCCAGCTCCATCCCGGCAGGTTCAAGCCAGGTCCCTGGACCCTCGTCCTAGAGCTCCCTGCCTGTGTCCACGCCTGTGATCTGGGCACAGGGGGCTCTCGGGAAGAGCTGGGCCGGAGCCAGGCAGTGTCGGATTTCTCCAGTGGCCCAGGGTTGGGAGGTCTCTCTGGGGCCATTGGGAATTAGGCTGCTTTGTCTTCCTCGGGGTCAAATTCATTTTCCAAAACTGAGATTTTGTTTTGCCACTAAATGACTGCTGGTCAACACAGTGTTCCCAGGTTCTGTGCCAGATGACCCCAGCCCACCCCACCCCCAACCCCGGGAGAAGGGAAAAGGGAGTGGACTAAAAGGGCAAGAGGCTTTGCTCAGCTGGTGGGGGGTCTGGGTGCAGAGGGCACCACCCCTACCCCAGGCCAGGCTGGTCGGGAGGACGAGCAGGGACTGTCCGAGCAGAATCCTAGGGAACGCGCTCACCCCGGGCCCTTCCCTGCCCTTTCCTGTGGCTGCCCAGGGGCTCCTGCCACTCTAGGCAAGTTCACAGGCCTCACAGCTACACACTAGACTGTCACTGTGAGGCTGTTTCCTTAACAGGAAAAAACCAATCTGCTCCCTGGCAGAGACCAGGCTTCCCACTCTCATTGAGACTACAGCCTGGAGTGCTTTCCCCTCCTCTTCTGTGAGTGCGTGGTGTCTGAGTGAAAATGACATCTCTTGGCAGCTGCTGCAACAGCTGGAAGGCAAACAGTCAGGAAAAGGGAGGAAGGGTAGCTCTTGGCAGAAGTTAGCACCCTCGTCTCTGACCCAGGAGAGAAGTTTGGAAGTAAAAGATTTTCTGGTCTTCACATTGGCACTGCGTGCTAGACCCGGAGTGCCACATCGTGGAGCCGATGTAGGGAGAGCCCTCCTCAGCTAAACCGTCTGTGGCTCCAGGGTTGATTAGAACATGAAAAGAACTTGGTGCCAGACAGATGCCATGTGTGTCTCCAGGCAATGCCCCACCCCCACTGTCACCTCCCAACTCAGGACCACAGGTAGAGAAGGGGACTGGAGGAAACCACCCCAAGGCACCAGGCCCAGAGCAGGGAGGCCTCTTGGCCTGTCGATCAGCACAGGTGGGGCAGGCAGTGTAGACGTTGCTAGGCCCATGCCGAGCCCACGGGTGGGCAAGGGGGCAGTTTCCTTTCCCTGGGAACACACTCCCTTTATTCACACTGATGTCACTCCAGCCCCTATCGCTGAGCTGCCAACTTGGATTTCCTTGAATGGTGCCGTCACTGTTGTCCCAGCTCCAGCTGGGGCCCAGGGGCTCCCCAGCCACTTCCTCTGTCTTGAAAGGCTGTAGGGGTTGGAGGGTTGGGGGCTGGGGAGGTGGGTAGAGAATTTGGTAAGGGGTCATCAGAGGAGCGGGAATCAGGAAACTGTCCTCCACACATGGGGCCTCTCCCCTGCCTCCATCCCCTTTCCCCCTACAACCAGACCCTCATCTGTAACACTTTCATTTTTATTCCCCCTTTCTCACTTCTCCAGAGATTCTCTTTTGAGGCCTGGAAGGATGAAGGATCTCCTTCATCCTGACCTGCCAGCAGGCCTCGCTCTGGTCTCTCGCAATGGAAGGGCTCCCCTCCCCTCCCGCCCAGAGGCTGGTTCTGAGGCCCGGTCCTGCGCCCCCTCTCTCCATGGCACCTGGGAACTCAGTCTCTAACTCAGTCCCCCTCCACTCCATCCCATTTCCCAGGTGACCACAGACTGGGACCTTCAGAAGGGCACAGGCTGCACGGAGGGCCACACAGGGACCTCCGCTGCAGCCCCTCTGGCCGCGGGCATGATAGCCCTGATGCTACAGGTGCGGCCCTGCCTCACGTGGCGTGACGTCCAGCACATCATCGTCTTCACGGCCACCCAGGTGAGATCCTCGCAGGACAAACGGCCTGGCCCCGCCTACCCCAGAGCTTTGATTATAAGGACTTGCAAGTATCAGGAGGCTTCAGATTCTAGAGGTCCCAAACCTTAGGGGCCAAATCCCTCCCAGAGTTACATGTGTGTGGAACAGATGTGGGGACCCCATCAAGACCACAGACCTAAATTCGTTTGTCCCCGTTCTGCTGCCACCATTTTACCTGCAAAGGAGCGCTCCAGCCAGGCTCCCGGTGTAGAGGCAGCGATGGGATATCACGGGACTTTGACCCTTTGTCCAACTTTCCTTGGGGAATCCATTCCTAGCAGCCTTGGTGGGAGAGTCTGGACGGGATCCGTCAGCAGGGCGAGCAGGGAAACCTAAAATCCCAGGGGCTAACCAGGACCTCTGTCCTCTCAGTACGAGGACCGCCGTGCTGATTGGATCACCAATGAGGCGGGCTTCAGCCACAGCCACCAGCACGGGTTCGGCCTGCTCAATGCTTGGAGACTCGTTAACGCAGCCAAGGTGAACAGGGAGAGGGGGTCCTGCATGCGGTGACCGAGAGTTGGGGCTGAATGACAGAGCCTGTGACATTGTCAGTGCTTAATGAATGTTGATGTCGTCTGAGAGCCATTTTACAAATGAAAAAGCAGGTTCAGCACTATAGTTAAAGTTTCTAAACTACTGGTGGAGAGTAAGTGGGCCTGAGTCCTGTGTGGGCCCCTTGGGTGCTCTGTTTCTCCTCTGCCACCCTGGACACAGCATTTCCTCTGGTGCCTTGATTTGGTGCCATAGTGAGCACTCCAGGGTGTCAGCAGAAGCCTCCAGGGTGTCAGCAGAAGCCTCAGGACTGAGAGAAGATGATGAGGAGGCGAGAAGTAGAAAGGGCTGGTTCCTAAAGATCAAGTGATGAGAGTGTGTGTGTAAGATCTGTCTTGTTGGTTCATTCGCCCACCCCTTCCTTTAACAGGTCTGGACGTCAGTCCCTTACTTAGTGTCCTACGTCAGCCCCGTGTTGAAAGAGAACAGGGCTGTCCCGCTGTCTGCCCGCCCCCTGGAGGTCCTGTGGAATGGTAAGTAGTCAGCAGAAAGGGGGTTAATCTTGGGCCTGAGGTTTGGGGCGGGGTGATGGAGAAGTTAGACTCATCCTCCCTGCCAGGTCCTACCCCCTTCCTTTAGGAGCTGAGCTCCAGCCAAACCTGTGGAGTTTTCTTTGACCATTTTAGGACATGTTGCTGCTTCTGAGTTGGCTGGCCCCCTGGCTGCTTAAACAAGACCTTTCTCCCGAGTTGCTGGTGGTGGGAAGTTGCTGCCGAGCAACCGATTAGAAAGGCTGGCGGGAGGGCCGGGACTGGGACTGGGACTGGGAGACAGGCGAGAGCTGAAGGATGTTCCATTGAGTTCCACGCTAGGAACTTGCCAGGCGATTCTTCTCAGCCCAGTAGCCTTTGGATGATGTAAAAGGGTTGGGGGGTTCTTCCTTTGGTTTGCAGGCTTGCCTGAAATAGAGGGTCAGATGGGGTCTGCTGGGGGTAAGACAGGGGAGTCCACGGGGGCTTCCTAGACTGTGGTCGCCCTCCCTCCACCCCGCCTCCACTGCACCCGGGCCACCAGGGTTGTCTCTTGTCAGTCAGAGATGCAGTCTTATGTTGAGCACGGAGGTTGGACCCCTTCCCAGAGGAGAGGACAGCCGGACTGGGATATCGTGATAGAGGACTGTCTGTCTGCAGATTTCCTGGGGTTCGCACTGGAGAATTTTCTCTACCACCAGTTCCTTGGGGAATTTTTCCCTCAAGGAATTTTAACAAACAGAGTCATTCACTACTTTTTTGTGAAGATTGAAGCATGTCATGCTTTGTACCCAAACGGAACTTTGTCTTCACTTTTTCCATCCTCCTAGGAAGCAATCAAACCAGAGTAATGGCGAGAGGAGGAATGGCCAAAGATGGGATCTCGGAAGGGAAGGTCCGGGCAGCTCCCCTTGGGCGGAGGTTTCACTGGGAAGAGTTCCATTGTCTCGCTCCCCAACCATGTCCAGCACTTGCCCAGTTTCCCTCTACGTGGAAGGAAATCCATGGCTCGGTTCATTGCATTTTCCGTAAAAGGAATGCTATCTTGGAAAGGGCATGAAGCCTCAGCCCAGGCAGAGGAGAGCAGGAACATTCCCAGGAATGCAGTTCAGTAGGAACCCCAGGGCTTTGTGCTCGCCTGTCTCGGAGACAGTATGCTTCTTAGCTTTGACCTCCCATCTAGGGCTACTTCCTCTCATTTGAGAAACAGAGTAACCCACAGTCGCATCCATCCAACAAGGGGATTGACTTAGAATAGGGTTAGGGTCCTTTCCAGCTTCACCATCCTCTGCTTCCCACCAACCAGGGATGTTCCCCGGCATGTGGACAAACCTCCCTCAGTATAGAGGCATCTGGCAACTGCCTGTGTGTCACTAGGAAGCAAGAGAAAGAAGGACAGGTTGTCCTGGGCGGAGGAGGGCAGGAGATGGGATAGTGGAGAGAGTAGGATGGAGAAAAGGGGGGTAGATACTCAGGGAGTTTTGCTGATGGAACTTCATTGGTTTGGAGGGCGGTAAGCAGAACTGCTGATTTCTGAGGTCAGCAAAGGTGGCTCCCCTCTGTAGTGACTTCATTCACCCCCGAGCAGACAACAGAATGTCCAAGCTTGTGGGTGTGCTTGGAGGCTCCAGGAAGTATGTCCAGTTCATGCAGAGCTGAGCAGCTCAGTCCCGGACAGTCAGGAAACCTCTTCCCCTGTAGCCAAGCGGTAGTCTTTTCCCACCAAGACCCGGGCAATTCAGTGTGCAAGGGCTGGAAAGTGAACTCTTTGTAAGGCAGAGGGAGTTGAACATCCTGAGATGGAAGAGGAGGTGAAATTCCACTAAGACTCCAGAGCCGTGGTGTCCAAGAGAACTTCCCACGATGATGGAAATGTTCTCTGTCTGGGCTGCTCACATCACGTGAGGCTACTGAAGACTTAAACACGCGGCTAGTGTGGCTGAGGAACTAAATTTTTCTGTTATTGTAGTTGAATGTAAATAGCCACGTGTGGCTGGTAGCCACCTTCTGGGGCGGGGCAGCTCTGGAGCAAGACAGCTTGTCTTTTCTCCCCTTTGGCAGGAAGATGTAGGGGGAAGGGGATTGGGGCCCCCCGGTTCCTTCAGCTCTGACTCTGGGTCTGAAATCTCTACCAGAAGGTAGGAGGGAGGGCAGGCTTTGGGGGGAATATCTAAACACAAGGGCGCCTGTGTGGATTTACTGAAGATTCCTGAATGTGGCTTGCAATTACCCTCTATCCTGGTTCGCAGTCCACGTGCCGGTTCCCCCCTCCTCCCCCTGCCTCTGCTTGAGTCCAGTTCCTTCACTTCTCCAAATCTTCCCCTCCAGCTCGGGCTTTCCCTCCACACAGATTCACCCTCCTGCCTTCAAAGCCCCCCAGCACTTGTTAGGAAGCAAACTGAAGTCCCTGCCACCCTCCAGCCAGTAAGTCACCTTTTCAAATGAATTAACCAAAGCAATTGCTGACCTGTATCACACCCGCTCCACCCTTCATGGCCACAGATTTCCTTCACCACTCCCGGCGCCCCTTTCCTGGTCAGACCCAGGGCCAGCTCACAGCTCATCCTTCTCTGCCTTCTTGTCTGACCTTGTCTGACCGGACTAGCGGGGCCTGTGTGGCAGCCTCCCTCCTCCTCCAGCTGCCTGCCATGACCTGCTTTGCATGGCCCCCTCCTGGATTCTCTGCCCTGGGGAACTT